CAAGGTTTTTAGGATAGGTTCGTATGAATAGAATATGTATTCTTTGTAAGAAATCGGGTTTCATTGACGTAAAGTGGGGTTTTGTCGAGCGTCAACTTAATTGCTGCTAATATTTTTGAAAAAATTATTGCTGGTATTTTTACTATAAAAATCTGTTTTTATACTTTCATAGTGTTTTGACTGCAGTCAGGGGAGGGTAACTATATGCCCATAGTTGGGACCCTAACAGGTGCTACCACCCCGGGTAAGAGTGGAGCTGGAAACAACAGCAGTTAAGAAATGGTCCTTCTGAGTCCTTGCTGCCGGATGTAGTTTATCGTCATACCCAGAACAGCACTTGGATTCGTTTTATTCACTTTTGCAGAAATATCCTTGGGAAATGAATGAATTCACCTTTTTTTTTGTTTATGTAAATCATGATTATCTCTCAAAATACTTACAATCTAAAAAAGATTTTATTCGTTTAAATAACCTGCAAAGGTTTGATAGACCGCAAAAATGTTACTCAATCCACATACCCCAAAAAAATTCTTAATATTTTACATTTTAATAATGAATTCTTTATCAGTTCAATGTTTTTATAAAATTATTTAATGTTTCCAATTTATCATTACTTACATCAGCTTTATTGCTTGAAAATTGTTTTTTATTCTCATATACGTCACTCCTAATGATGGACTACAAGTTTTTTTTTTATTCCATTGATTTTGTTAACTTATCTAATTTTTCGATTTTATCATTACTTGTATCAGTTTTATTGCTTCACAGAAATCTTCTTTGCTTGAATATTGTTTTTCATTCTCAAATATATCACTTCTAATGATGATCTACAAGTCTTCTATTGGAGAAATAATCAGATAGGCTGCACAAAGAAACATTCCATGATTTTGGTATCTTTGAAAGCTTTTTTGGCAAGGTTGGCTATAGCTTTGCAGATTATGAAAGAACATTGTCTTAAATAACGAAATGTTTTTATAGACTAATTATTTAATTAACACTTTTTTGTTTCGACTTGCATTACTGAAAACTATCTAGGACTTTTACACAATTTTCAGCATTTATCTTTACACAGTCATAAACTTTGAAGGGATCTGCAATTTTACTGCCAGCAATTTTTACAATATAAAATATTTTCTGGCTTGAAATAACCTTCAAATGTTGATAAGCTGTAAAAACATCAACCAATCAACCCATATACCTGAATAAATTATTATGACTTTATATGTTAATTATGGGTTACTTGATATTCTCTAACCCTCTCATTTTTTCAACCATGGATTTTGTTATCTTTTCTACTGTTCGCACTTTAACTTCTTGCATCAATTTTATTGCTTCTCAGCAATTTTCCTTGCTTGAATATTGTTTTTAATTCTCATATACATCACTTCAAATGATGAACTAAAAATTTTCTATCAGAAAAATATTTGGATAGGCTGCGCGGCGGGGAGGAGCATTCCATTAATTTGGTATCATTGAAAGCTTTTTTGCAAGGTTCTTCATAGCCAGCTTTGCAGTATAAGAAGGAACAGTCATATATATATATATATATATATATATATATATATATATATATATATATGCTACTGATGTAATGGAATAACCATCCCCATGAATGATTACACTATAGGTAGCATGTACACAAGTCAAGCTTCTTCGAGAGACTCGGGAGGGAAGTGTGAGCGAGGCGGCGCAAGCACGTCCGACCTTCTAATTAGTGGCAGTCACTAATAGATTCACCTGTGTGTATAACTGTACTGTATTTCATATTGTACTTGTTGTGTACACTAAACCTTTCTTCTCGTATCCATTTGGTGCTATATGTCGAGGATGTTTGAAATGAATTCACTCGGAACATAACAGTTACCTAAAAAGAAACAGAAAAAAAACGATACATAATTTTGTTATAATTTCAAGCCAATAGATTAACATTATTCGGACTATTGTCCTCATCTTTGTCGCCATATTTATTACAACGTTTCGGCCATTGTAGGCTCCGATCTTCTTCAGGCGGTTGGAATGCCGAACTGAACCCTTTATTTCGCTCACTGGAGTAGGCTGTTCAAGTTTCACGTGCCATGTCTAATGGATGTCAGGTTTAAGGGTAAAGGGTTCAGTTCGACATTCCAACAACCTGAAGAAGACCGGAGCGTACAACAGCTGAAACGTTGTGATAAATATGGCGACAAAAATGAGGATAATAGTCGGAAAAATGTAAACAGTATACATAATAACTCATCTCAGAAATATAGACAGATACCAATAGATTAAATTTACTATTTCCAATAAGCAAAATACTTTGTTATTTAAAAAATCTAAATGTTTTTATAGACTTTTATTGGTTTTGATCCGCAAACTATCTGTGACTTTTCCATACTTCTCAACCTTTTTTAAGACTGCCATCGAACCAAGGCTAAAGAACCAAGTTTCCCCTGCTATTCATGTGATATTAAGCACTGAGCATAATACAAAAATCTACATGATACACTCCTTTACCATGTTGTCTTATAAGTCGCGTTAGTTGACTATTTATATGAAGAATCTAGTCTCTATCCCAGTCAAATGATCCTTGCAATGTATTGTATATTTGTCCCTTGACGTTACTGTTGAAAAAAAAAACTCATACCGTATACACAAAGTGGCAATACATACAAGTCGAACCACACACATAAACATATCATACAAAATATATGTATTTACTTATATACGTTTCCCTATATATATATATATATATATATATATATATATATAGTGCTATATATATATATATATTAGTGCTATATATATATCTATTAGTGCTACATATATATCTATTAGTGCTATATATACATATATAATATTAGTGGTATATATATATATAATATTAGTGCTATATATATATATAAATATATAATATTAGTATATATATATATATATATTATATATATATATATATATATATATATATATATATATATATATATATATATATAAAAATTCCTAGGTAGAAGTCAATGTCCAGGATAGTGTCAGAATATAATAAAAAGACTCAGACATTAATATTCCATGGTTATAATTTATTACATTGGAATCGTAAACACGATACAATTCATCAGACCTACAAATGCAAGGATATTTTCCGATTTCTTTTGAATTTGTAGGTCTGATGAATTGATCGTGTTTACGATTCCATTGTCATAAATTATAACCTTGAATATTAGTTTTTGAGCCTTTTATATATATATATATATATATATATATATATATATATATATATATATATATAGTCTTAATATGTACTATATTTATGGATAAAGCGCTCAATATTAGAGATAGACCGCGTGTAAATATAAAAGTGAACATTGAAGTCAACACTTAGAGGTGACAATCTGTTTCATGCTAGACGCAATCATAGCCTGACGATTGCGTCTAGCATGAAACAGACAGACATATATATATATATATATATATATATATATATATAATGTGTGTGTGTGTGTATAGTGTGATAGAGAATTTTCCACGTCGCATAAAATCGCTCACCTCCTAATAATTTATTGCAAATATTTATAATTAAAAACTTATTATATCTTATAACATTTTAGCAACCTGTAAATTACTATTTAATTACATTATAAACTCTCACATACAGCAAAGATGGCCGGATGAACAAGGAAAATCTGTTATTTGTCCAGTTCACTCACTATGTCTAAAGTCCGAGTGACGGAATAAGAAGACTGACTAGACTAAACATCAAGTGCGTTTGTTATTGGCTGGGGTTGGCTGATTTTAAGCTTCAGAGGAAGAAAGACGAATGAAGAGGTAAACTGATTGATATCGATCTGGGTGGGGGTGTTGTTCATTTGTCGAGCTACTACAATATTTTCATCATGACTAGCATGTCCATACAGACAAAACCATTCCCTGTTTTTCACTTCTCACCATGTTTTACCACTAGGTCTATCGGCAAAGGACGGCTACGTTATGACAACAAAGTGGGAAAAAAGATGATAGAATGGCGGGAAAAGTGTTATTGCTTTGCAATCTTTGAAGAAAACAGACGACAGTAATAAGAGTAGTGGCTATCGACATAATAACGGTTATTATGGTGACGTAACTACGTGTTATGTGTCTGTGTTTCTATTTATAACAACGCCACGTCGATTGTACTGTGTAGTATAAAGATAAAGGTTCAGCTGGAGAAATTATGGCAGGAAAATGAATAGAAGTTAAAAAAAAAAACTACATTCTCCATGATGAAAATATAAATAGTGGTTGTTATTAAAATGAGGATTTCTGCAGTTTATGGCATATATGAACTAAATATTTTTCAGAAACATTACGCAAGATGAAAACATCTACATGGGTTCAAATAAATGCAGTTACACTTGGAAAAAATTCTATGAAAATATTCCCGCTGATATTTCAAAATGTTTCTTTGCCCAAGTAGCGAAGAAGGACTTGAAATAATGTTTGAAAGCGGATTTCTAAAGTATCACTATGATAATATGATAAATAATTATATTATTTATTGTAACACACACACACACACACACACACACACACACACACAAGCGCGCATGTTGCGATGGCTAAATTGTCGTCTAAATGACACAGAAATGAAAATAACACTAACATCTAATTTTAAGATTTATTTACCGAAATTACACAAAACTATCTTGAAATACTAAAGAGTAAATGTATTCAATAAAATCGCCATTGGCTTTAAGCACAGCCTCCAGACGATTTCGGAATCTCCTGCAACTCTTCTGGGCGGTCTTTTTAATTTGGTAATCAGTTCATCTTTCGGAGTATGGAGTTTTGTTGGTCTCTCACTCAACTGCTCCCCACACATAATAATCAAGGGGGATGCAAGTTTGGGGAGTTAGGTAGCGAAATATTAGGTGTGATGTGGTCTCAGAAATTGTCTGGCATACATACCAGAGTTCTGATTGTGTGGCATGGTGCAGAGTCCTGTTGCCAGATAGAGTGTTGGTAAGGAGAATTATAGAGCATTTGACACAATGTCTTATTCAAAGAAAATAATGGCATCTATCTATCTATCTATCTATCTATCTATCTATCTATCTATATGTGCACATATATGTGTATTCAAATATATGTATGCATATATATATATATATATATATTCAAATATATGTATGCATATATATATATATGCATATATATGTGTATTCAAATATATATATATATATATATATATATATATATATATATATATATGCATATATATGTGTATTCAAATATATGTATATATATATATATATATATATATATATATATATATATAAAAGTAGACCATCAGAGTTTGTCTATATTTCTGAGATGAGGTATTATGTACAGTATTTACATTAGTCGGACTATTGTCCTCATCTTTGTCGCCATATTTGTCACAACGTTTCGGCCGTTGTACGCTCCGGCCTTCTTCAGGTGGTTGGAATTTCGAACTGAACCCTTTATTTTTTCCACTGCCTGTCACTGGATCTAACCAACGCCTTTAAAGGCGTTGGTTAGATCCAGTGACAGACCCAAAGAAGGTGAGTTCAATTCCTGGTTAAGGCAGTGGAGAACTTTCAGAGGGAAAATTAGCAGGAGATAACTGATAACTGACATCCATCAAACATAGCACGTGGAATTAGAACAGGCTACCCCAGTGATCGAAATAAAGGGTTCAGTTCGAAATTCCAACCACCTGAAGAAGGCCGGAGCGTACAACGGCCGAAACGTTGTGACAAATATGGCGACAAAGATGAGGACAATAGTCCGACTAATGTAAAGTAGACCATATTTATAGGTTGGGGTTAAAGTGTTCATCATCATGGATAGAGCACATGTAAGAACAAAAGTGGACATTGAAATCAACACCCATAGGCAACAGTCTGTTTTATGTGTGGTACGCAGATCCGATTGCATTAATATACATATCCGATTGTATAACAACTTTCCACCAAAAATGTTATTAAGAAAGTTATTAACAAAAATATGTTTTCGAGGGTGGACAGTTTTGAAAATTTGTATTTAACAGCAAAATTGTACAAAATTCAATATTTACATTTATTCCCTTTCAATTGTAATACTTCAACAAAACTGTTTTGCATTGAATCAATAAGTTTTCTGAGAGTTTCAGATAGAATTTCTTTCCAATACTGTTTAATGCAAGATTTTAAAGTTTCTCTACCTTCAAAGTGACATTTATTTTGGTATACTCTTCTTGACAAAATTCCCCACAACTTTTCTATTTGGTTTACATCCGTAGAATTTAGTGAGGCAGTCCAAAACGACAATATTTTTTTCTTTTAAACCAGTCTTACATAAGCTTAGAAGTGTGTATGGCTGCGTTTTCCTGTTGCAAAATAGCATTATTTGTGTCTAGACGATTCATAAATGGGACAAGACTTTTTTTTTCCAACACATTGATATATCAAGCAGAGTTTTGTTTCCCTTCCATCACTACTAAATCAGCCTTTCCAGACGTAGAAAAAGCTCCCCAAACCATAACAGATCCTCCTCCAAATGATCTTTTTGAAAACAGCTGCTTCACCTTTCATAAATCATACCAATAACTCTGGTAGACGTCAGGCCCATCTAAAACATTTTCTCATCAGAAAACATCACGGTTTCCCATTTGTCCTTTGTCCATGTTACTTTTTTCTTTACCCAATCTACGCGCATCTTCTTATGTTTAGCAGAAAGCAAATGCTGGCTTACTGTTTCAATACACAAGATTTGGTGATCCATGGAAAAGTTGATGAACTCTTCTTGGAGTGATGGTAAATTCTCAGATTTTTGCAGATCTCTTGAGTTTGATTGTCCTTTAGAAGCTTCTCGAAAAAGTCGACGTCTGGCTGTATTTGTAATTTTAGGTGGACGACCCGGACGTTTTCTGGTGCCATTCAATTCAGGGTCCTTTAGATCATTTCTTTTACTTTTTAAAATAGTTTGAAATTTTGAATAAACTTAATACACAGTCTCCAAAGCCAAAAATATGTTCCAGAATGAAACGTTAGATAGAATAAAAAAAAAAACTTTAATCGTTTTAGCTTACTATACATCCGCTTTAGTATAAACTTCCCCTCGTTTGGCAATAACAGTCCCGGTTTAAAATGATGTGTCTGACGATATAAATTATTAGTAATCATTGCTTTTCGTGTCAAATCTGAAGTCTGTTTCGGTTTAATTTATTATTCAATGACTTTAATGAATAATAAGTATTGACAACTGTCCAAGCTCAAGGTTTGGGAATGAAGATAATCTGAATTAGCGATATATTTGTCACCACCGTAAACAAAAGAACAGATGTTATATCAAAATAACATTCTCTTTGCTAGGTAAATTAATTAACCTGTACGGAAAGTAATTACATATTTCGCCGCTATGAAATATGAGTTAGTCAACCGAGGTAAACAGGTAAATTTGCTTTTTAACGCCCAAACGCCCGCACGCTAAATATCTCTTAAAATTTTCCCAAATTGTCATAATTCCGTGTAAATGTCCGTGCTGAACTAGAATTAACAATTAAATTATGAAGAAACCTACCGTTTTGGAGTTATCGTCAAGAAAAAAATCGGACTTCTTGTTGGTCATTTGTCCCCCATTACTGCCATAATGTTCGGTATAACAGTGTGGGATACATCCGGTGGCGTAAGCATAAATTTTGGCCTATTTACTTCTTTTACAGACTTTTGGTGCAGAAAATCACTACGCACTATCGTAAAGAAATACATTTTTTTGGTAAGTGTCGATTTATTTATAACAAAAACAAATTAAATAATACAATAGAACCTTTTTTCCATGTAGAATCGCTATGACAAATTAAAAGAAGAAAATAAATTATACAATAAAGCTTTTTTTAAAAATTAAATCGGACTAATTGAAAAAAAAATTAAATAATACAATATAAACCCTTATTTCGTTTCTAGCATTTTTTTATTTTGTAATTTTATTTTGTACATAATCATGCTCTTTACAAAGTGTTATGTTTATGGGTTAAGTTTAGAGTTAGGGGTCTTTCTGTGTAGAAAAGGGGAGAAATTAAACCAAAAATTAAATAATACAATAAACCCATACTTCGTTTCTGCCTTACCAAGTTTGGGCATTAATTATTGTTTGTTTTATTTTCAATTTTAAAATATAAAAAAATGCTTTATTGTATTTAATTTTTTCTTTTAATTTGTCATTGCTATTCTACACAGAAAAAAGGTTTTATTGTATTATTGTATTTGTTTTTGTTTAATGTTTTCTGTTATAAATAAAACTACAATTATAAAAAGAAATGCTTTACGATAATGCGTAGTGATGTAAAAAAGAGATATAGCTATAAAAGAAGTAAATACACCAAAATTTATGCTTACGCCACCGGAAGTGCATCGCAGTGGATTTCCTGAACATTATGGCAGTAATGGTGTTAAAAAGCAAATTTATCGGTAAAAGCAAGTTGAAATGGTACGACACTAAGATGAGAATTAGTTTACCGCCTCTTTTATCCGAGAGTGTGTCGTTTATAATGCATTTCAGAGTTTTAAAGAATAAAATATATGAATTTAAACCGTGACATATTCGCCATTGCATCATTCCTTCCGAAAGGGAAATACAATAAGAGACATTTCAAAACATTTGTCTCATACATGTCAACTATGGTTTAAATGTGGCGATTGAGACATATCCAACAAGTCACACTCTGAAGGCCGATCCATAATTAATTAAGTTTTGGAAGAGAACATTGAATCGGCTACACGTCAATTCATAAGTGATTTGGCTCAAAAATCTTAATGTGCCAGGATTCAACTCTAAACGAATATCTCTAGCGATTTCTATTAAGGGAATTTGAATTCATGTTGAGTTTTTGCTTGAGAACCAAACACAACGCTCTAATATCCGGACTTTTAATCAGGAAAAACAAAACATTCAGTTTCGATTCACTTTTTTTTTTCAGATCATGAACATATTTTTCCTTATCAACAGAAAGCTGAAAAGATAGTGGTTATCACAAAGTGATCAAGCAGCGTCATCACCAAAATTAAGACTATCCACAGATTTCCTTGCTTCCTGTCTAGTAGAATATTAAATGTCGTCCATTATGAGTTATTGGAATATGAAAGGACCACCATTACAGATGTTTATTGTCAGCAACTTCATCAGTTAAACGTAGCATTAGTTTAAAAGTTTCTTAATTTGTTAAACAGAAAATGTGTTCATTATTTACATTAATCGGACTATTGTCCTCATGTTTGTCGCCATATTTATTACAACGTTTCCGACATTGTACACTCCGGCCTTCTTCAGGTGGTTGGATGTCGAATTTAACCCTTTATTTCGCTCACTGGGGTAGACACATGGCACAGTGGATAAAGCCGTTGGTTAGATCCAGTGACAGGACCCAAAGAGTGTGAGTTCAATACCCGGTTAAGGCAGTGGAGAACTTTCAGAGGGAAATTAACAGGAGATAACTGACATCCATTAAACATGGCACGTGGAACTAGAACAGTTTACCCCAGTGAGCGAAATAAAGGGTTAAATTCAACATTCCAACCACCTGAAGAAGGCCGGAGCGTACAACGGCGGAATCGTTGTAATAAATATGGCGATAAAGATGAGGAAAATAGTCTGAATCATGTAAATAATGTACATAATACCTCATCTCAGAAATATAATACTGAGATAGTGAGAAAATGTGTTATTCACGAGCACGATAATAGAAGAGAGTGTTCTGAAAAGAAAAACAAACCCTGGAAAAGATCGTTTTGAAGTTCTTCGACATCTTTCCCACTGAACAGATTGAGCAACTACTAATTTTCATTTGTTTTTAGAATTTCTCAATTCTGACAAAATTCTGAAAAAAAAAAGAAGTTGAAAAATCAGTTAACTGTTTTTCAGGGAAAATTTCCAGATTTGTTTAAACGTGAAATCGAAAATGTGTTTTCTCCTTGAGCTGGAGTTGTTGAAAATGTTGATAACGTTTTAGATGAATACAATTTAATGGAATTTAATTTGTATTTGTTTCTTATATTCTCTCCGGTAAAACGTAATTATATTCCGAACACCCTAATATAGTTTTATAGATAATAGTGTTTTTGAATAGCCATAAGCTTTATTGTCGTGGAATATCGAATTATGAAGACAGAATATATAAAAACAAAAAAAAAAATAGATATGAAATACAGGCTCATGACAAAGAGATTTGTCTTCAAATGAAACCTCGCCTTTCGGACTCGCGTGAATTTTTTTTGTCATTTTGTGTGTTATTTCCTTAATTATTTTTTGCATTTTTTCGCATTGCTACTTAATTTGGAATTCACTTTTGATTAACGTTACTTAATGATTTCTCTTGGGAAATACAACTGAAAGAAGAATCGAAATACAAGAAATATTTTTTTTAATCCAAAGCAAGGAGTTGAAATATATTTTCAAAACGAAATCACAGATTGATGGAATAAATATGGATTTGGGGTTCCTCAGGGAATATAATTTCCAAAGGGAGCTCTCTAACCAGCAACAATACTCGCTAGAGTTAGTTCCCACTTTATTGAGTCTTCCTTGTCTCACTGAAGAAGGACCCAGGCATGTCCAAAAATTCCGACTTTGAAATCTTTCTCTTCGTGATTCAATTTAGTCAAAAAGCTAATAATAATAATAACATGAAAAATATCATCAATCTTATTGCCAATATTGTTATCATTTTGTTGGATCAAGTTTTATTAAATCTAAACAGTCACACATGCGTATATATATATATATATATATATATAGTCACACATATTATATACATATATATGTATGTATATAGTCTATTTTATATATATGTATGTGTATATATGTATATAGATGTGTTATATATATATATATATATAATACAACTATATACATATATATATATATATATATGGTGTCAGTTTTTTCTATATATATATATAAAGACTGTCAGTCTTTCTATATATATATATATATATATATATATATATAAAGAGTGTCAGTCTTTCTATATATATATATAAAGACTGTCAGTCTTTATATATATATATATATAAAAGAGTGTCAGTCTTTCTCTCTCTCTCTATATATATATATATATATATATATAAAAGTGTCAGTCTTTCTATATATATATATATATATATATATATATATAAAAAGTGTCAGTCTTTCTATATATATATATAAAGACTATATCTTTATATATATATATATATATAAAAAGTGTCAGTCTTTCTCTCTCTCTCTATATATATATATATATATATAAAAGTGTCAGTCTTTCTATATATATATATATATATATATAAAGAGTGTCAGTCTTTCTATATATATATATAAATATATATATATATATATATATATAAGAGTATCTTTCTATATATATATATATATATATATAGGAGTGTCAATGTTTATATATATATATATATATATATATATATATATAAGTGTCAATGTTTATATATATATATATATATATATATATATGAGTAATGTTTATTTATATATATATATATATATATATATATATAAGAGTGTCAATGTTTATATATATATATATATATATATAAATATATATGAGTGTCAATGTTTCTATATATATGTATATAATGTATGTGAATGTATTTATATATGTATATAATGTGTGAATTTATGTATATACCTATATAATGTGTATATATGTATGTATTATGTTATATATAAGTATAAAATGCGTATGTATGTATATATATATATACGTATATAATGATTGTAAATGTATGTATGTATAATATTATATATATATACATACATATATATATATATATATATATATATATATATATATATATGTGGAATCTGTATATGTATATAATGTATGTCTCTTTTGTTCTCCATAAGTGTGTCCAAATGTATCTCTAACTCCTAGTCTCCTGCTCGTGTGTCTTTTTCTGAATCTGTGTTTGTGTATCTGTATATGTATATCTTGCATATCATCAGGTGAAATAATATCCATATCCCTGGGCTCGAACCATGGCCATGGAGAAATATAACGTTGCATCAGCCACCTTAGCAGGCCATATTTTATGGTGCACTATATCTATTGAAGAAATAGTCATTTTCTCCTCTATTCTACACAAAGCGAGATAGCAAATTCAAAGAATAAAAAGAATCTGCGTATAAAATCGAAGAACAACAAGGCAAGAAGGAAAGAAAATTGAAAGAATAAAATGAGATGTTAGCATGAAATTTAATTGAGGTTGTTAAAGAGACTTTGTAAGTGAAAGTCATATGAAGTGAATTTTGAACTTTTCGTTCTGTACAATTCAAATAAAACGGGTCGTAATTATCGCCTGGCTCCTGGTCAATTTTCCTGCTTGTTAGGCTTAATTTAAAATGACCACTCGAATAAAAAGACCTGTAATCTTTACCCCGAGTAAATTTCTTGCAATGGATAATGTCTAAAAGATAAATTACATTAGACTGGTGTTAGGCTAACTACAAAGACATGCGAACAATTCATTCATGATTCCATGGACAGTTTTGTAGCAACGAGCATTATTATATTTCCAACGGAAAGTTAATTCTGGACAGTTTCATTTCTTTTTCAACTAAGAGATATCTATCTATCTATCATTTTTGTTCATCTATCACTGTCTTTCTTTCTTACTTTATCTATCTATCTATCTATCTATCTATAACTTTCTTTGTTCATCTATCTCTTTCTTTCTTTCTTTCTTTCTGTCTATAACTTTCTTTGTTCATCTATCCCTTTCTTTCTTTCTCTATCTATCTATCTATCTATCTATCTATCTATCTATCTATCTATCTATCTCTTTCTTTCTTTCTTTCTTTCTTTCTTTCTTTCTTTTCTTTCTAACTGTCATTTTCTTTATATATCCGTCGATTTCTATCTATCATTTTACCATTTTTTTCTGGTTCATCCGATTCGTAAAACTACCTTTTTGGTTCATCAGATTCGTAACCTAACGTTTTAGTTCTGCCGATTCGTAATCTAATGTCGCTTGTTAACTCGCGTCGTAAGCGATCCTGTTCAATCGATTGGTAATCTACCTGTCATGTTCAGTCGATTGGTAATCTACCTGTCCTGTTCGATCGATTGGTAATCTACCTGTCCTTTTCAGTCGACTGGTAATCTATCTTTCCTCTTCGATCGATTGGTAATCTACCTGCCCTTTTCAGTCGATTGGTAATCTACCTGTCCTTTTCAGTCGATTGGTAATCTACACCAAATGATTCAGTCGTATCGTAATATGTCTTTGGCGACTTAGCTTTGTAAAAATCTCGAGCAAGGTCACTATATATCTATATATATATATATATATATATATATATATGCATGTTTCATTAAAAATGATAGACAAGGTACTACGGTTAAGCTTTTTATTTCATTTTTCTTGTGTTCGAACAAGAGCTTTTTTTTCAGGACAAAGGGTGTGTAAGAACTGTCCAAATGTTTTATATTTCCGAGCGTTTTCGTCGATACCTTTAGACATTATCAAGGATGATTCGATTTTTCAGCTTAATTGAGTATTTGCGTTATATCTATGTCTTAGTGTGTGGTCGGGATGTTTTTAATTTCCGAATACGGTTAGCACATTATGGCCTTGTTCGTAGTTAATATTGTTAAGAGTTGGCTTTTTCTTTTTTATTATTAAAGCTTCCATTATTTTTATTATTTTTTTCACAGGTGGATGCAGTTAATATATTTGTGTTTTCTACTAGTATGTTTCTAATGGAGTCTGGTAGGTTTGTGTGTGTGTTTAAATGGGTTCTAATGGAGCTGTGATCAGATTGGTGTAACGTAAGCTTTCTGAATAAGCATGTAGTTGTGTAACCGATATAATTATTTATGAGTCCAGTTTGATCAGGAACACAGTTTCTTAAGGGGCATTTGAACTTATAGATAATTTTCGTTCTTTGTAATTTTGACTTAGCTGGTGTGTTGTTATTTTGAGGATAAGATTAACTGTCTTAAATTTTTTATAATAGATAATTAATTTGATATTCGGAAATTAAAACACACTTACTACACACTAAGACATACACATAATGCACACACGCTTGGAACTATAAAACATTTGAAGATTTTTTACACACTCTTTGTCCAGAAAAGAAAGCTCTCGTTTGAACACAAGAAAAATTAAATAAAAAGCTTAACCGTAATACTTTGTCGTTTTTAATGAAACATGCATAAACGAAGGATTGCTGCCTAAATATACAACTATATATATATATATATATATATATATATATATATATATATATATATATATATATATATATATATACACACACACACACACACACACACACACACATATATATATATATATATATATATATATATATATATATATTTATAATCGATCTACTGCTCGAAATAATTGCCGATGTAAACAGGCCACAGAAATTAGATTGATAATAGAGTATTTTTCGAAGTATGATTAACCAACTGTTCTTTTTTTTCTGGAGCAATAAATAGTTTTCCTTTACATCAATGCAAATATGGCAAACATGTCTTCAACTTGATACGTCTTCTGCTGAGGTAGTTATTACGTTTCTTGTCATAGTGAAAGGAATTTAGTTTTTACTGTAAACAGGATCATTGAAATAACATCATCAATAATAATAATAGAATTAGGGTAAATAGAAAGCATACATTTACTATGATTCAGCTATAAATTTGTAGGAACATCATATGTTTATTAATATAATATTGCTCAGTAACATCCCAAACTAAACCTTCCTTTGCGTCAGGTGTCTGGTAAAAGATTTGTCAAAGGACTGTATCTTTCAGCAAAACAGAATAACTAGAAATAATAAAACAAATAAATAAATTTACATTATCGCCATATGGAATGAAACCTTGATTTTCTCATGTAAATTCTGCATTTTTGCAGGTTTAATTAAATATCGAATGTAAGCTGAAAAAACTGAATAAAACTTAACGGTACTGAAACTCGAAAACTTGTACCTTTTTTTTCTCTCGAATATGTTCTTTTTTTCTCGAATTGAACCTGCTTAGCAAATAAAAAAGAAACGTCACTGAAATTGTAAATATATGCGGTGCACATTCTGAAGTTAACGATAAAATGAACAATTGATGAAATGGAAGAATCAGACGATAGGAAGTAAAATAAAAAGATTAAATGGAATGTTTATTTTTAGATTCAAATATTTCAAACGAAACCAAACAAAACGACTTATAAAAAATTGATCTGTAACAAAACGAAATTGAAAATATTTGATTTGTTCAAAGCAGTATATTTCCTTTTTGATTTCGCTTCAACCGACAGTTTTTGGCGATCCTGTCTTCATTTTAATTCTTCTAATGCATTATTTCCTTTGCCAAAAAAGAAGAAAAACATTATTCCCAAATAAATGTTTCTATTTTTAGATTTTAATGCTTTCTATAATTTTTTTCTTCATGTTATGCCACCACAATCGTTTCTTTTTGTTTTGTCATTTATTCATTTTAACTTAAAAGAACACAGTGCGAAATGGCGTTGAAAAAACACTATGTTACGCCAATACTTAGGTTAAAGAGTCTTAACTGCTTATAAAATTTGCTGTCGAAACACTAGCCTTTTAACTGTGCTCTTATACTGATATCTATGTATGTATAGCTGGCCACTCGAATTCGAGGATACGCGTCTACTAGAGCGGCCAGCCAATCCCTATTGCAGGCGCTTGCTCAGGAGCATTTGTGTTTATTCAACACCCACAGAGCCCTCCTGTATTTTATAGTTTTTGAGAGTGTGTTATCTAGCGTGATCAGCAATTTGAACAAGGCCAGAACGTTCAAGCCCTCGGGCACGATGACTTGTGACTTCGTGCTAGCACAGCTATCGAAGGAATCCAAGGGTTCAGTCTACCTAATTTCACTCACAATGCTTGGATCAACCTGTGGCATGGTTTACAGGCATTTTCCAAAGGCGCTTCACGCTGGGATTGATACCCTTCAGTCCGATAGCATCAGGAAATCTATCTGAGAAATCGATCGTGGTGAGATACGAACTCGAGTTTCATCGTCCTAATGTCATGTGCCCATATATATCTTGTAACGGTAAAAAAGACACAATTCTTTTTAGTCAATATACCCGATAATACATGATTTGGGATTTCTTTTAGTTTCATAATAAAATTCCAGGTGTAATGTCAATTTAACTTGAGATGTAAATGTTTAGAAATGATAAAAAAGGTAGAAATAATTGATGTAAAAAAGAACTTTTTTTATAAGTCGTTCGTTTTTGGTTTCGTTTAAAATATTTGAATCTAAAAATAAACATTCCATTTAATCTTTTTGTTTTATTTCTTATCGTCTGATTCTTCCATTTCATCAACTATTCATTTTATCTTTAATTTCAGAATGTGCATCGCATATATTTACAATTTCAATGACATTTTTTCTTTGCTAAGCAGTTTCAATTCGAGAAAAAAAGAACATATTCGAGAGAAAAGGGTACAATTTCTCGAATTCCAACACCGATAAGTTTTATTCAGTTCTTTCAGCTTACTTTTGATATTTAACCAGACCTGCAGAAATGCAGAATTTTCATGAGAAAATCAAGGTTTCATTCCATATGGCGTTAATGAAAATTTATTTATTTATTTTATTATTTCTAGTAATTCTGTTTTGCTGAAAGATACAATCCTTTGACAAATCTTTTTACAGGCACCTGATGCAAAGGAAGTATAATAAATATTACATATATATATATATATATATATATATATATATATATATATATATATTTTAAATTAAAACATACCACTTTAAAGTTCCATGTAATAAATTATTTCACCACAGCCTTTTTAAAAGGACTGCGGGATCATCAGACTTTACTTCCAAACAAAAAAGGAAAAGAAAATTTACACATTTTTGACGGGCCGTATTAAACATATGTAAATTAACGAATTGAGGAAGTGAGGGGGGAGAGAGAAGACATGAGTGAGTTAGCTGCAAGTGACGACTTGGATCAATCACTCACCCATAATCACCTTAAATGTATAGGTTGTATCTATTAATGTATTTTATCCTCATTTATTATTTTGAAAAGTTATAAGAATATCTCTATATACGATGCATACCACTAGAAATGATCAAAATAAGAAAGATGGCGGAACTCATGTGAATAATTGACGGAGCAATAATTTATTTTAGGTTAGACTTCGACACAGAAGAGGGACACCTTTCGGATGGATACATTCGGATTCGGGTATATACTTCTCGGCTCGACAAAGAAAACGTAAATTAAAACGTTTAAAAAATAAAGAGCTTAGTTAATCATGAGGTTATAAGAATGGACGGTGGTTGAATATTTCTGGTAATAAAATCTATGCAAAAAAAAAAAAAAAATGAAGAAAAATACTAAGCAATCAATCAGTTGTCCTGTAGACGCCTTGTGAAGAGAAGGACTTCGTCTTCAGCACGCTAGGAGTTTTGACTGTGTTTTCCTTAACCTGTTTGGCATTCAGAATTTTTAGACTGGTTGTCAGCCAAAGCTAGAGAGCCTAGTTAACTATTATTTAATCCATAGCTTGGAGCTAAGGAGAAGAGATTGATGCATGTCTTTTAGTGGAGAAAGGGGGATAATTCCACCATCAATCCCAAGATGTGGTGCTTCGAAGATGGTAAATAAATCAGAACTTTTATATTGTATTGCATAACACCACAATCGCTACACACTAATTGAAGAGCAAATTCATTACAGTTGGAAACTTGATCGTGAGCTCATTATCATACGACGTTAATAGTTACACATCTTGGGTTATTTTACGCCCAGTACTAGAGAATCTAGTGAAGCATTAATATATTATTCTTGTAAAGAATGATCTATCATCAAGAATTTTAGAGATGCGCCCATATCTTGTCGTATCAGCGGCATAGACATTTAAAAATGGTCGGCGTATATTCAGGCCTCGGAGAACTGCCCTGTGAGAAAGAGGTTGGAGTGTGGAAAATAATTCTTCTCCACCAAGGACTCGGAGATGCTTTTGAACTCTATCATGATTGGAAAGTGAGGTCTGGGGAGCTCCCGCCCAAATATGGCAACAGTATTCCATTTTTGGTCTGATCTGACTCTTGTAAAGGCAGACGTGAGGAGCCAGGTACTTACTGTAGCGGTACAGGGATCGTATGTATGAATTCCACTTGACGTCGCGTGTGAGTTTGGTGCCCAATATGCTCCCGAGGTACAGGACCTCCTCAAGGAGACATCCATTCATCGTGACTGGCGGTAGTTCGGAATCTGATTGGCGGTGATGGAATGTTACAGTTTGGTTTTAGAGGCATTGGATATAACCATTGCTTCTTTCAATTTATAGATCCGGTAGACCTACGCTTCATCTGTGAGAAAATTGTCTATAATCCACAGCATGGTTGATATTATTATGTAGTAGTTGAGCCATCTTTTCTTTGTTTTTTTTAATGAAATTATCCTGTTTCTTATTCTTTTTCTTGTTTTCTTACTTTTCTTGGCTTTTGGAAGGCATCTTTGGCTCTTCCAATTAGCGATCAGATTTCGGTGTCACATTTTCCATTAAAAACACTTCTTAGGTATTTAAGCTTCTGTAAAACACCTAAAATCCACATGGTACATTGCTCAGAAAACCGTTGTGCTATATATCGTCGAAGGCTTTCGATATATCTAATGCTATGACGAGCAAAACAAGAACTTGATCTGGACACCTTGCCATGGCAAAAGATGTGTTGGTCGTCCAGCAATCATAATAATGTAACCTAAAAAATTAGTCGATGTCAAAATGGCAACATAACTTTATTTTAGGCCTGATGTGGCTGTTATAAAAGTAAAGGATAATATAAAAAGTCAGGTACTTACTGGAACGGCACAGGAAGCCGATTATTTTACTTGCATTTTTAGCGATGGGTCGTATATAAGAATTTCACTTGAGGTCGGGCATGAGTTGACAATATCTTGTCAAGGCACAGTGCCTCCTGGAGGGGATATCCATTCATTCTGAATGGCCGTTAGTAACTACTTTCAGGGATCTACCTGTTAAAAAGGATTTTATAAGAGAGAAAACCCTTCCGGTGATTCCATAGCCGGAGGCTTTGTGCAGAAAACCGTTGTGCTACAAATCATCGAAGGCCTTCGAGATATCTAATGCTATGACGAGCAAAACAAGAACGTGATCTGGACACCTTGCCATGGCAAAAGGTGTGTTGGTCGTCTAGAAATCATCTACATTGAGCAAAACACGTTATCACACAGAATGACACTCTAATGACCTTCTGACCTTGATGTAGGAACGTGTTGGTTGATAGACTCATGAATGTCGGGGCTAGCTGGACCGAATAATAAAATTAATACAGTATTTATTAATTTTAATGTAAAATTAGCACAGGACACCGTTTCTGAGCAACGTGATATTTTCCGTGGCAGTTCAAGCACAATCTCAGATATCTTGTCTATCTAATACTAATAACAATAAATATGACCAGTAGAAGTTAGGTGTTCTATCTATCTATCTATCTATCTATCTATCTATCTATCTATCTATCTATCTATCGTTAAAAAACAGATGTTACGCAGTCATACTAAACCTTCCTGGGTCTGACGATAAACTTTATCCACGTCTTGGGTAAGATGATAAACTACCTCTAACAGCAAGGCCTCTGATCGGGTAGTTTTGAGGAACTTGAAACCACCTCTTAATTGCTGATGTTCCTAGGTCCACCCTGACCTGGGATGGTAGCACTTGTTAGGGTTTCAACTATGGGCAAATAGTTAATCCCCCCAACTGGGGTCAAAACCGTGTATGAACGTGTAAAAATAGTTTTTAATATCAACAATAAATTTTTACCAGCAATGAATTTTTGAAGAAAAAATTATTACCAGTAATACATTTTTGAAAAAATATTTTCAGAAATACATTTTTGAAAAAAAAATATTGCCAGCAATATATTTTTGAAAAAAATATTGCCAGCAATACATTTTTGAAAAAATATTACCAGCAATCAATTTTTTGAAAAAAATAACATTACCAGCAATACATTTTTGAAAAACATATCGCCAGCAATACCATTTTGAAAAAATATTGCCAGCAATACCATTTCGAAAAAATATTGCCAGCAATACATTTAAAAAAAAAATATTATCATCAATACATTTTCGAAAAAAATATTACCAGCAATACAGTTTTGAAAATAAAAAAAAATATTATCAGCAATACAAATGTTGTCGGTATTAAATAATTGAGGTTGATATGCCGTAAAACAAAACAAAGCATACAAAAACAAACAAAAGTCATACTAAAATATGATTGAATGGAATATCTGAAACTAGAATCGGAATATTACGCAATTTTCAAAAGAAAACAATCTTCTCTCTTACTGAGGATATGTTTAACTATTCCCTTATACGGTTAAGTTTCCATTTTTGTTACATACATACCTATCGCATGTAATATCAGTGTTAGCGATGGAACCACTCTCGTAAAGAGTAGAAATCGTTTTTAGAGGCGTCTGCTATGGTCCTGGTATATGACCTATGTTTCAGCACTTGGCAGCTCGATGGCTTTGTCTACTTTTGATGGAAGATTAAAATCTTCTAAAGACCGAATTGACGAATTTCAATTCCATGATTAAAAATATAGATAATAATTGAATTGCAGTATATGAGTCAGAAACATTTACATTGATCTTTTTGGCCCCTTTTATACATAAACTTTTCTGAGTACATCACAGGACTAAATGAATCAAGTTCTGGGTGTGACGATAAACTACATCTGGCAGCAAGGCCTCTGATCGCGAGCCTGACTCTTAATTGTTGTTGTTCTCAGGTCCTCATCCGGTGTGGTAGCACCTATTAGGGTCCCAGATATGGGCAAATAGTCAATACCAAAACAAAAATGTATGAAAATAGATTTTTATAGTAAAAGCACTAATAATACATTTTTATAATAAAAGACCAACAATGCAGAACAAGTAATACATTTTATCTGCAGTTGAAGGCATACAATTGTTCATTATACGTTTGTTTGTAAGTAAATATAACGGATGCAACTGAAACTCAGAGACCCGAATTCGAATTTCGAGACTTTATTCTTTACACCAAACTCACACTCAAGTATAACGCACCTTCAGTATCTGTCTATATTTCTGAGATGAGGTATTATGTACACTATTCACTACATTATTCGAACTATTGTCCTCATCTTTGTCGCCATGTTTATTACAACGTTTCGACAGTTGTACGGCCCTCTTCAGGTGGTTGGAATGTCGAACTGAACCCTTTATTTCGCTCACTGGGGTAGACTGGGTTCCACGTGCCATGTTTTGATGGATGTCAGTTATCAGTTATCTCCTGTTAATTTCCCTCTGAAAGTTCTCCATTGTCTTAACCGGGTATTGAACTCACACTCATTGGGTTCTGTCACTGGATATAACCAACGCCTTTATCCACTTCAGGACATCTGGGTATGAATTTCTTGGTATTATAAACCTAATGTCTTCCGCAACCATTTTTACCAGTGCTCATATTGCAATTTTTGCTGTTATCATTACATGTTTTTACCAGAGTTCATATAGCAACTTTGTTGTTATCATTGCTTTTCTTTGGCACTCTTTATTACTGGTTCCCATATTGTATTTATTTTTATGCTTGGTCGGCTCAGGAGATTTTTGTGGCCTAGCATATGTGCTGATTCCTTAAGTTTACGAATTTTCCAATGTTGTTCATACAATTGTTTTTAAATTATATTTAATTGAAGTCATAAAATTGAGTTCAAATTATTTAGATTTCGGCATTAAATAACCCATAGATGTGTTGTTATGTTGGTAAATAAGCAAATGAATTAACCTTCTTAATCACCTGTCTGCTTTCAAAATCAGCATTCGATTTTTTACAGGACGCGATCACCGGTTCCGGTAATACAAAGTACAATTAGTAAATTGTCCCCGTTTTATATTTTTAATTTCACGCGTGTGTGTTGTTTGTTTTTCATATTGTCGACTGCACAGTAGGGTCAGTTGGGCACCTTCTTTGAGAAAAAGAGCACCATGACGCATTCACTTCGCCAGAAGTTTGGAAAGCTCCAATACGAACATTTCAGAAGGTTTGGGTGCAAAGGATTCGGAAAGAGATGATATATCAAGTTAACTTCATGGAGTTTGGAGTGATCACTAGTGATGGCGAAATTATGCATCCATTTATCTAAACAAAGAGGCCTACATCAAGTGCCTTGAGGAGGTAGTGCTGCCCTAGAAAAAGAGTTTGGCTGCTGGAAGAACCCATGTCTGACAACAGGACTCTACACCATGCCACATAAGCAGGAGAACACAGTCATAGCTGTCAGACAATTTTAACTCCGCAGACTAAAAACCACTTGATTATTATGTGTGGGGCGCAGTTGAGCGAAAGACCAACAAAACTCTTTGTATTACCAAAGATGAACTGAAGGCAAGGATTATGGCAGCATTCACCAACTTAAACAAGGAGACCGTCCAGAAGAGTTACAGGAGATTCCGAAGTCGTCTGGAGACCGTAGTTGAAGTCATTGGCGATTTTATTAAATAAATTTACTGATGTGGACCCAAAGTTTGAACCACGGAAGGAAAACACGGAACACGGATTAGAGGTCAGAAAGATATATTAAACAAAAAGGTTACAAAGATAGTGTAAGTGTAAGCGGAGCTTACTATGTGCTAGTGTCCAATATTGGTCGTCGTACGCGGCTGATACTACGGTATTAGAATACTCTCTCTCACTCTCTCTTCTTCTTCTCTCTAGAGTATTATGTCGCATACTTTATATAGTCCTGGAAGAGTCCATGTTGTAGGTATGTTATGGTCTCACAATATTTACTCTGTAGTATTTCAAGAGATTTTGTGCAAATTTGGTAGATATATCTATTGAAATAGAATGTCAGTGTTATTTTCATTTTTACGTAATTTAGACGACAATTTATCTCATCTGACGCAATCGATTGCACAACTGAAACAGTGTAGTAATCTGACAATCCGTAGCTACTTCACCGTTTCTGCCTTGTGATAGACGCAACTCAGCTTTCAAAATCACTTAAAAGAAACTATAATCCTTATTACGTGAACTTTGTCAAGAATAGCGTTCCAAGAACAAAAGCCTTTTTTGATGAAAACAATCGTAATCAGTGCCGCCAACACTTTGGTAGAATCGTTACTAAACAAGATCCAAGAAACAATAAAAATGGTCCCTGTGGAAACAGCGCTTGGTTAGAATTTAAAAGAATGAAAGTAGTTATTGTTGTATAGATCATTGTTGTATTCGTCAGCTTTGTATAAGGAATGGAATTAAGTGAATTTGTTGATATTATCTTATCAAACAGATTCTTGAAAGATAAAAAAAAAGGAAAACCAAGAATGGAGTTGTCTTTGGCTTGATTGGTCTAAGATATTTAAACAGATGCATAATTAAGAAGGTGGAAAGAGTGACATGAAAGACATAACGGTAGGTTGCTTACTTTTGCCAATAGTCTTAACTATTTAAGCATGAATAAAAGAGAGGATTTATTTGATTTTCATACGAAGCAAAATATCACGCGAAGAAATCTGTTTAGAACAGAGAATTGTCTAATCTTAAAATAAAAAAAAAATCTTGCGAGAATTCTTCAACAGACACATACACACACACGCATATATATATATATATATATATATATATATATATATATATATATATATATATATACAGAGAAAGAGCTGGAGAAATTGCGTGCAAACATGAAACAGTTTGTTGCCACACGATGTAGACATCAGTCTTCATACTTTTGATATCTATATATATATAAATAATTTTAATATTAAAGTTGATGTTTCAAATATGAAACAGATTGTTGCAACTCGATGTTGACAGTGTCCACCCTTTTGATACATATATAAATAGTGTTTTAATAATGTTAAACTCGATACTCGGTTAAATTTAGAATTTAATATTTTTAATTTTTAATTTTAAATTTAACTGTGAATTAAAAACTTTATTTGATATATTGATTTCTAATTCAATCTAATCTTAACTTTAATGCACTAATAGATTGTACTTATGGTATGTTGTCACATTATTTTGAATTACCGTATATTTGTATTGTAATTGGTCATCAGAAGTTACGTAACAATGTTTCCCCTACTGTGAAGGTGTTTGGTTGGTTTTCAACACTTAAAACCCTTTATTTTGCAATATACATTATCACTTGATAAGACAGCACTAGAGGTGAAAGAAAATTGCAATTTTTGTAGTGATGTTATAACATTAACCATACTTATTATAAAACCCAGGTTGTGTGTGTGTGTGTGTGTGTGTGTGTGTGTGTGTGTGTGTGTGTGTGTGTCTGTTCGTTTATATATTGGATTGGATTTCCTACATTTTTCAACCGATTTCAACAAAACTTCACAGGGCTACGTAAAATTATCTTGCGGTGGTTCTGACAGTGCCAAAATTTGGAAAAACAATTGTTTTTGCATGAAATCAATTTGAAAACACGATTAAGAGGCATCGCTGCCACGAGAATGAATAGGGGGAACAACTCATATCGAGTTATACTTATTATAAAACCCAG